CCCCCCCCAAATCCCTTTTCAAATCCTCCTCCACCCTTCGACAGGGAGGTTGGGAGGCGCAAAAAGTGGTGTGGGGCTCCGAATGCGTACCCCTTATTTCACCCTCTCCCCCAAAACGTCAAAAATGAAAGCATAAGCATTTTTTGATGTGTTATGATGACTATCGGAACGCCCATCGCTCCAGCGCGGGGCCTGTGCAGATACGGCTGGTTTGTGTGGCAGTAGGTCTGGATTGAAACAAGGCACCTGCATGTTTTTGTTGGATTTTTTGTCTCCTTGGACGCACATTTTCAACGAAATGTGAACCACCAAATAGTGGTTAAAATTCCTTTTCTTCAACAGTGCCGAGCCTTGTCGAACAAAAAGTCAAGCCCCCCCTCCCCCTCAACAATGCTTTGTGCGGCATGTGCATCACAATCATTTTTTTTCCCCACCACTCACTCACACGCGAGACACATCCCTATCCGCACATCCGCGCGAGCTGACCACAAGCGGCACGCAGAGCGCTCGCTCCCGGGGCTTTTCTGCTTATCGAATTAGCGTCCGGGACACATTTTGTTTGGGCGTATCATCACGCCGGGCACACCGGACCGTCGCGTCCGCTTATAATTTTTCTCTGTTTCGTCGCTGTCAGCAGACAACAATTCCTCTTTATGGACGCCGCGCGGTGTGGCTGTCCCGACCAATCTCCTATGGCGCGGCGCGCGGCGCTGCATGGCCAAAATCCCCACCAGCGTGCGCGCCGTTGTTCGCGTCAAATTTATTATGCTCGTTTGAAAACGGCGCAACAGAAACAAAAACAACAAAAAAAGTACGCCATGACATGCGCGTTGGGCGGAGCTGAAGTAGTAGTGTGTTAGTTAGTGCAGCGGAAATTCTTTTAATTTTTTTCTTCCCAAAAGAGAGAGAGAGGGAGAGACCGTGAGAAAAGGAAGAAGACGTGACTAAAGAAAGGGAGTGAGAGAGAGAGAGAGAGGGAGAGAGAGAGAAGTAAAAGATGGCTGGGCCGCAGGGCCCGCGCCGCCCCTCTGCTTAGGGATGGGGTTGGCTGGGGCCGGAGCCATTGGCTGTCATTCCTGCAGTGGGCGGGATAGGCCGGGCCTGGGAGGGCGCACCGCACGGGTGGAGGGAGGGAGAGGCGGCTGCTCCCGAACTTGTAGCTCCTCCTGATTAAGAAGACTCGACCGTCTTCGTCTTTTGTGCTTGCGGCCCCGCGGTGCGTGGTCGGTGAACCGGAACACTTAAAAGACTTTGCTTATACAACTAATAATATCCGAGCATTTTACCTTGGGGTGAAATTCTGAAACAACGCAAATGTTGTCGAGCGTTTGGTTATTTTTTTTAAGAGGGGGAACCAGTCCAATGCAAATACGCGAACAGTAAAAAATTGTGTAAAAGTGTAAAAGTTTATTCTACAAGGTTTGTATTTTAAAAAAAATAAAAATCACTTTCAAACACTCATCCGATTGCATGCCTAAATCTTTCCTTGATAATGGTTTCCATGCTCATGCAAATTGACTGGTCCCACTGATGATAGTCTTGTTGTTGTGGTGGTTTCGGTGCGGTGCCCGCCCACACGCGCGCCCACGGGCAGGTAGCTCCGGGCGGGGGGCGTTCCTCGGCCCGCCCTTGTGCGTACCCTTCTCTCCCTCTCCCTCTTACCCCCACCTCTTTCTCCCTCTCCCTCCTCGCCGAGACG